ATGACAAATACACACTACCGCCGCCTGCTGGTAAGGAAAGTTATTGCCACTCAGGCATGCGCAGTTCGTACGTGCTCGGCGAGTGAAGTAACGAGTAAAGTAACGAGTTACTTTATGTAGATAGTAACGAAGTAGTGTAATATATTACTTCTTTTTTTTTTAAAGTAATATGTCATATATAAACATTTTTTAGTAACGACCCCATCTCTGGAGTTGGCGTTCTCTACTCTGGTTTACATGAAGAACAACAGGAGGTCACGGCTCTCTGTTGAACAGGACTTGCGAGTGGCCCTCTCCTCAGTGTCACCAAGGATTACAAAATTCTGCGCGCCCCGACAAGCACATGTATCTCACTAATTTGTAAGTCGGCAAAATATTTACAATAGCACATGTTTCAATGCTAATTGCTGAAATGTTACATTTATAATTTGTAGTTCAGGACCATGGACAATGCAGCTTCCTTGCATTGACAGTTCTCTGTGCTGAATTTCTGCTGAGTTTCCTTTGCCTCATTTTTTATGTTGTGACCTGTCTTGTTTAAATGAGTGTGTTGCTGCTTTGATGAAGCCTAATTTGATAAAGTTTCAAATTAATTTCTGAAATATTTCGTTAATAAATATGTCATGAGTAATATAGTTGTCTGTCACATTTTATTTGGCATTAGTAAATAATTATGCACATTTACAGATATTTTACATGATATGAGTGATAACACGTGTTATAAGAGCTATTTTGCACAATAGGTGTGCCTTGAGATTTTTACTTGTCCTTTGGTGTGCCTTGGGCACAAAAAGTTTGGGAACCACTGCTCTAGTGTGAACCACTTCTTCAGAGTAGCATGAATAAATATGTTTATGTTCAAAGTAGATAAACGAAAACTGAACGTTTTATACAGTATTTAATAAAGCCAAGCCTTAGAGCCCTATTGTGCTTTTTAGGGGTTTTCCCTTCCCTCTAGTGTGATATATATGTTTGTATGCATGTACATGGCCTGCAAAGGCTCAAATCAAACCAATAATACAATTAAGCACTTTTTGAACATCAAAGAATGTAAAACATGTTACAGTAGAGGCACACATTACAAATATGAACCTGAATGAGTATAAAAGGACCCATTTGAATCCTCCTTTTGTTCCATACTTGGTAACACAAAGGGCAGATACATTCTTATTATTGGGCTGCAATCAATGTGAATCTAAAAACAAAGAATGAAAACTCCTCACTGAAGCTCAACTTAAGACAACATCAGGAAGATACGTCCCCAGCTGACACAGAAAGCGACGCAGGTTCTGGTCCAGCCTCTTGTCATCTCACGCCTAGACTACTGCAACTCCCTCCTGGCTGGTCTACCTGCATGTGCCATCCGACCTCTGCAGCTCATCCAGAATGCAGCGGCTCGTTTGGTCTTCAACCTTCCTAAATTTTCACACACCACTCCGCTCCTCCGCTCCCTTCACTGGCTTCCGGTAACTGCTAGAATCCACTTCAAGACACTGGTACTTGCTTACCATGCTGCGAATGGATCTGGCCCTTCGTACATCCAGGACATGGTTAAACCGTACACCCCAGCGCGTGCACTACGCTCTGCATCAGCCAAACGACTCGCTGCACCCTCGCTGCGAGGGGGACCCAACTTCCCATCAGCAAAAACACGTGGGTTTGCTATCCTGGCTCCAAAATGGTGGAATGAGCTCCCCATTGACATCAGGACAGCAGATAGCTTGCACATCTTCCGGCGCAGACTGAAAACTCATCTCTTTCGACTCCACCTCGAGCGATAGATTTATTAACAAAGCACTTATATACTAATAAAGGACTGGCTTACCTAAAGCCAGTTGAGTAGCACTTGAAATGTTTGGCTCTATGAAACCTGATGTACTTATATGATTCTGTTTTCTTCAAGGTTGTGTCTTCCTGGTCGAATGTACTTATTGTAAGTCGCTTGGAATAAAAGCGTCAGCTAAATGCAATGTAATGTAAAAGACTAAACCTCAAGAACTCCCTCACTGAAACGTAGCTTTAACAACTATTCAAAGTGTTAGCTCCTCTTAAGCACTGCTGTGGGAACTCCTAACAAAGCAGCCAATAAATAGGACTGCCAGTGTCAGTTAGATACAGTGGATGCGTGCAGGAACACATAAGATTAAAATAATGTTTTGAATACAAGCAGCATACTTTCTAGGCAGGATGAAGCAGATAGGGATGAGGGGGAGAGGTAGAGAGTCAGGGAGAAAGCTGCCTTTGTGAACATTTAAAAACATGATTTGCCTAACACTGGGGGGTTGGGGATTAGGGAGTGGACAGCTCTACACACACACACATCCCTGCTTTCTAATCCTGGAACACATTAACAGCCATAATTACACGGCTACAAAAGATTAGTGATGACGGAATGATGACGGAATGATGGGAAGAGACTGAGGAAAAAAACAGAAACAAACACATAAGAGAAGAAGAGACGAGAGGGAGCAATTAAGGTGATACGTAAATCCATTCCAGAAAAAAAGGAGGAGAAAGAAGTTGATGAGGAGGCAAAAGCAGGTGTGAAAAATCAAATAGAATACCTAAAATATTAAACAACTTATTAGTAAAAAGGAGAAAGAAGGACTAGCTATCAAAAAGAGGGAAGAAAAAGGGCGGAAGGCCAAGTAAAAACAGAAGTTACAAAGGGGAATGTAAACAGTCAGAGGAGGGGAGACTGAAGTGCTGACAAATGTGTGGGAGAGAGAAAGACAACAGAGGAAGAAGATAAGGAAGAAGAGCCAAAACACACACAGCGTGCATGTGTTTAACAAGGCTTTTCAATCACACAAACAGGAAGCAAAGCATTGAAACACCCCGAGAGCTAATCGATAGAGCAGGGAGGTGCATCATTACACAAACTGCTGCTGCAGGAGAACACACCTGGAGCACTCACTTCGCTCTCAGTGAACATCGATAACACCTCAAATGTTGCTGCGCTAGTGTGAGAGTTAGAATGTAAACTGTACTGTAACATGGCGGGCATTACATTTGATTGATCTGACACTTTTATGCCAAGCATTAAACGTTTTATTTTTGAAGTAAGACTACAATTTAAAATAACTTTTTGCTAAGAAATCATTATATATATATCTCCTGGTTTTGTTTGGAATTGTGTATTAATTCAAACATTTACATTTTCAGAGCAGACAATGATCAAATGTGCCACCAACCAATGCCATTAACCCTGTTTGCACACTACCAGGAGCTTTTTGGAATGCAGTTGTTTTTCAATGTTATCAGTACCACTTGTGCTTTTCCTACAACATAGCAAAATGTCCGCTTTGATAAAGCAGGCCCTCAGATGTCAATCAACAGCTTCTAATGGAAGCACCCACGCTTAGAGCTTACATACATTACCTTTTTACATGATATATACTGTTAGTTTGAAGTCTGTACAATACTTTCTGCAAGTCGGGACTTCTTGGCAGAACACAAATATTGTAATCAGAATGGTATACACATACTGTACTGCTATTTGGATACTGCACTAGTCTATTGCAATTTTGAAACAATTACGATTATTTACGCAGCCCTAATTTAAACTATGAATCTATACTTCTAGGCGGAACAGAGTCATCTCATAAAGCAGAACAGGAGGTGAATAAGGAAGTGTTTAAAGAGGAAGAAGGGATCAAACGAAAGGGAAGCGAGAGTTCTGGCTATGTAGAAAGGGAAGAGGTGATGTACTTGTGAGCATAAAATGATGATAAATTATATAGAGGGGTTAAAAACAAGGAGTTTGGAGGCTGATATATGGGTAGATGAAAGCAGATTAAAAGGCAAAAGTGTGGAGAGAGCAAAAAAAAGAAGAGGTTGAAAAGAAAAGAGTTCTCCGAAGGCTGTGTCTGTCTAGCAAAAACACAAACACAGCTTCTCCCCTTCAACCCCAACCGAGGCCATCTATATATATGACTGGTGTGCTCTTTGAATAATGGAGCCAATATGGAGAGAGTCACTGAGAAGATTTGGTCGTCTGATGGAGGTCATGAGGTTTCTGCCCCAGGAGCAGCACGGGGAATCAACAGCAGTCATAAAGGAACCACAAGAGAGTCTCATTTACATTTTACACTGGAGAAGTGGAAACGACTCATGCCTGCTCCTGTCTGGACCATCACAATTCACATCAGATATGCTTTTAATCTTTTATACAGCAATTATGGAGAACTGGACCTCCATGGCTTTGTCTAATTTCCCAAGACTTTGAGGTGTGATAATCATATGGCCCTTTTCATGATATAAAAATGACAGAGCATTCGATTATTCTTTTATGACTTGGAGGAAAACCTCAGATATTATGAAAAGCGCTGTTTCATAAAAAGTAATCTCGCCTTTTTTATCAGTCTTTCAGGAGTTCATAAAAATGTTACTATTTTTTCAGGAAAGTATTTCTAACAATAAATAATGTAGCCAAATGGTGGCTCGAAGGTCAAATAGACTTAAAACCACATTTGTTCATGCTTCTATTCGTGTTCTTGGAAATGACCTATTTTGTTTCAATGAAAATGAAACTGATTGCCGAAACATTAAATAAATATAAAAACTGCCTAAGGTGTAGTAAAAGGTAAGTACATGTTGAGATGTAACTGCCGATGTTTCAGTAGAACGTTAGTTATAAAGCAAAGTACTATTTGACTCGCAATAACTGTACACTTTTTGGTACTAATTATCTAGTATTGTACTAGTACCAGTCCCAAAAAAATCTCAAATAACACCCGCTGCATACATCTTTTATTTTCTAATGTAGGCATTTACTCAAATAACAATATATTTTAGAATATAGCAATATTCAATCATCCAATATGCATATCCCTCAAAATCTTTTTTTACTGATGTTGGTGCATTAACCAAATCCTTTTTTGTTTGAAATGATAATAAATACTGTTGCCTTTGGAGCAGCTATAACAATATACACATGTATATGTCACAACATAGGCCAAGTGTCATACTGATTATTTTTTAAATTATTTAAATGTTACCTGTTCGAGGAGTTTTCTGTATCTCTGCGTGGCTTGCTGGATGAGGTCCCTCACAGTCCACCCCTCCTTGCAGGGCACCACCACACCTGTCTGCCCAAATGTCACCGTCACCTTCATCATAGCACTCTCCTCTTCATCCAAGATGCAGACCCTCGGGATGTGGGTGATGAATAAAGGTGATAACTATGCAGGAAGGCTCCAAACCGCAGTATGTCCTTCAGAAAGTCTTAATAAAGTGGCAGGGATGGTTGAAGAACGTCTCAAAGTGGTCCAGAGTCAGTAAAGCTATTTTCTAATAACAGTCTGTCCATGACATTTCCACTGACTTCCACAATTCAATGTAGTAATAATGACATGCGTAGGTACATCCGGGCTTTTACATTACTTTCTCATGCTATAGTCAGAAGAGTTATCATCTATGTACATGTCCTCAAGTGGTTCTACCATTGGTCCATATATTAACTTTCAGTTTCCAGAAAAGTTAAAACAATACAGCAGTGTTTTCATGTTGGAGATAAACGAGAAATGTGTAATTTCTCAGAGTTTTACCTCACGTTAACTTCACTTCACATAGGCTAGCAGTCTACCAGCTAGCTCTACTTTGCTAAAAAAAAATGATTAGCTTGATAGTGTAACTTGGTCCGGGCTAAGATAACAAGCCAAGGATGAAAGCGGTTCAGTTTGCCTCAAGCATTAACTATCCTCACGACGCTTTGCCAATACATTAGTCATTGTGTTACTAGGTGTTTTGGCGTAAATACAAACGTTTATCTTATCCTATTAACTTTTATATCAGCGAGTCGAGTCCTGCGCTAGCTAATGTTAGCCACCTTAGCTGAACTTTGGAGGGAGGGATGCAGTCGCTCGGGCATCACTCCAGAAGTTTTTCCACTCGCTACTTTGCTTCTTCCATGCGGTGAGTGGCATTCACTTCATTACCGACACACAAAGTACGGCAACGAACCCGTTATTTTTCACTTACGATGACAAGCCGTAGGAGAAGTTAAATAGTAACACAGACTATGGAACTGTGTGTTGGAAAAGTTTGGAGATTCCTTCACTGCCGTCCGCTCCTGGCCAGTTTCTGACCAGCTCCTCCACCGCTTGTTGCTGTCACTTTCTTAAAGGGGAAGTACTCCAGTTATTGCGAGGATAAAAGTTCAGAGAAGTATACACAATTGATGTAGTATAAACATTCTCAGCTAAAGGTACAGCAAGTTATGGTGTGCAGGAAAACAAAAGTGCAGTAAATTCAATTCAAAATAGCTTTCAGACTGAAAGTTAGATCTGCTTGCTAGATGAAAGAGTTCATCTCATGAAAAATGGGAGCAAAAACAAAAGTGTTGCGTTTATATTTGTGTTCAGTGTATATAGAATAAAATCACACATTAGTTATACTATAATACAATTAAAGACACATAAGTATGTAAGTACACGACATATGGCTAAAAATGATGAGCAGCAACTTCAGAACTTAGTGACATGTAATGTCAGGTGTTGAGACATTATTAAAACAAAATCTTTTTTGGGACATTCATTACAATGTAGGTAATTCACATACAGGTGATTATAGCACATATTTAGGAAAAGTGTCATGTGTATTGCACATGTATTGCACAATATTTCAACATTCTGTATTGTGTTACCAGGGGCTGTGGTGGACAGTCTGACCACTGCAGGAAGGAGGACCTGCGGTATATCTCCGTGAGACAAGCAGGTATCTGTAACTGTTGTAGTGGTGGAAACATACTGAAATTATTTTTTTAAAAGCAGTATTGTGCTGCATAAATACTTCATTACATTCATTCATGCTATGTTAAACCGCATACTGCTATTTAACATAGCAGTATGCACTCAAAATAGTTAAAGCTGCATTGATTACTTGTTTGGCCACTAGGGGCAGTGAAATAAGCTTAAAACAACAACACAAATGACTTTTATAATCTTAATAAGTTCTGGTGGTAGACAAAACAACATTAACATTCATTACGATTTATTCTAATCATGTTTGTGGCCATATTTGTGGCCACCTTGATATTGTTATATTACATTTTCTTAAATCTCAGTTCAGGTCTAAAATGCTTGAAATACTTTGTAGAGCTGAAAAGATCAGCAGAGTTGGGTTCTAATCCTCTGTGAATTTGTCACTGAAATTGACACCTCTCAAACTATCAATTAACCATTTGATCCATTGTTTAAAAAACTGGTATATTCATGGGACTTTAAAGTCAAAGGACAGCCATAATTATCAAAATCAGCATATTGAAATGTCAAAAATGAAAACACTAATAATTTTTTTTTACAGAAAATAAATCATATTCAACATAAATAAATAATTATAGCTGAATTTAATTGAGGTTCTTTAGTTTCAGGGTCCTGGTATTGTTCATGCCATCTGGGACACATGAACAAAACAGAGCCTGAAATAGGGTTATTAGCAACACCTGGGCCTTCTCTTTGTTTTAAATGTTCTTTTTTTGTTTCTTTGAATGTTGTTTTTTTCCTATTCTTGTAAACAAAATGTAATAAACTATTAATCGCTTGTAAAAAATAGAAACAAAACTTTAAGCTAACTACTAGAACTATGTTTTTATTAATAATAATCACCTGAAACTAAGAATAGTTTAGTGTATCGTTAACTTAGGATAACCCCTTCATATCTACGGAGTCGGCCATGTTGCACAGCCATGTTTCTACAGTTTTGAACCCTTGTAAAACCTAGAGTTAGCATGTACTTAGCAACAAATACAACAGACTTTAGGGTATACCGTATAACCATTGTTGTTGCAGTCATAATATTAACGGGATCCACATTCATACAGCAGACAGTGAAATTGGTGTCGTTACCTAATCAAATCCCATGAAAATCTTCTTCTGATTGATGCCAGCTCAGCATTTTAATGTTGAAAAGCCAACAAAAATATTTACAAAACATTTCAGTTTTTCACAGTTTGATTCATCTTCAAAGGGGAAACCCCTCCTTTGAGGTGGAGTTTGGCTGTGTAATTAGCAGCTCAAATATGCATGTGTATGTCTGCTAATTGATTTGGGCTAGGTTTAGTTTCTGGGTCACTTAATTCCATTGCTTCTAATGAACCCCAGGGGAGGAGGAACATTGTGGATGCATGCATTTTTCCCCTCCTTTATTTTGGTGAAAGTTTGAAAGTAAGAATTACACTTGATAATAATTTAGGACATGAGTTTTCATATTATTGCATTCACTGCAAAGGAGTAAGAAGCAAGCTAAAGTATTCAGAACTCATATGATTGTCTTCTTATTGTATGCTGCTGCAGATTTTATATAGGGTACAGGGCAATGTTTAAATATTTAGTCATTCACAATAAAAAAGTACTCAGACTAAACTAATAATGTTGAGGTCAACCACATATTTAAACTGTAGTGGTGAGTGATCCTTTTAAAAGAAGGTAATTGTAACCTTGTGTGAATTATAACAACTCAACCTTGCCAACTAAAACAAAACATTGAAAAATGTAATTAACAAATTAATTTTTCTGCACCTTTCAAAACCATTGAAACTAACTGCTAAAAAACAATTCCTCATATACAATGAGGAATAGGAATATCAAACCTCGATCCATATGGTTGCTCACCCCCCTCTTTACCCCATATGGTAAATTCCTAACCTCAGCAGTGCTCTGTGTTATGCCTCCTCCATTATGAACTGTGGAGAACATGCTAGGATGTGAATGCTCCCCTGCTGTTGGGCCAGATGCATCCAGACCCTGGCAAACAAATCAATATGTGTAATAGAACATGTTCTGCTTTACAAAAAAGAAAAGGGAAAATTAAAGGGTGCAGTGGGGGATAGCAGAGTATTATAAGATGCTTGAATCAAATCAAATCAAGTTTTATTTATATAGCACATTTAATGGGAATACACAGGGTGCACATACAGCTCATATACATGAAAGCACTCAATGACATGGACACATATTCCTTTGTCCCTCCAAAAGTCGCTCCATCCCCTCCTACTCCTGAAATATCTCGGAATATATACCTTTATTTTTCACATGTATAATCGATCATACTTTTAAAATCACCCTGGGCATCACAAGGCATTCAGAATTAAGAATGGGGGGGAGAGGCACATCACAGGACGCCAGGGGGCCACATACACAATAATAACTCATGCCCCAACTATCATTCCATGGAAATAATGTTGATGTATATACTCCCTTCCTGGGGGTCAGCATATTAAAAGGTAAAATACTATATTTACTGTCACAGAAAGCAGACTACGGTGGACCAAAAAGCAGGAGACAGGAACTTTTAACACCAAATACCTTTAATTCAGGCTTGGTCGGGTCAAAACAAGGCAAAACAGAACAGCACTTCCCTGTGCACACAACAATTAAGAATCCAACAGTTTATAATCAGAAAACCAGGTCTTTAATAGAAGCTGAACTAATGAGGGGATACAGTGCAGGTGGAGAGGTCGTGTTGATGCAGATATAATGGGGAACAAGGGAAACTAATTAGAACAATCTAAACAGGTGGGAAAACACACCACAGATTTAGAAAAATTAAAAAAGGAAACTGATAACCTTAACACTAGGATTATGACGTTTACATTGTATTTTATTGAGAAGATACTGTACACATGCAATACTGTAGGCACTAAGGGTGTGCTTACTGGGTTTCTAGTGGTCTGTAGAACTTCTATGAAAATACCTTGATTAAAGAACCCTAACCTATTTAGTTCCTCTGACTTATCATATACTGTATAAGCAACATGTTCACATTCACCATCTTTATTGACTCTATTTTTTCAAGTATGTTTATTGGATATTGAACAACACACAAATGTCCAGATATAGAGTCGATATAGAGTCAACTATAACATTCTTAGAGAGTAACCAAACCTCTACAGAATAAATATTAACACAATTTGGTAAGAACAATTCAAAGCCTTGTATTAACATAATAGATGTTAAGGTCAAACATACTTTCTGTGGGTTCCATGCTCACAAGGAAAAGGGGTTAAGTATAGGAAGAGCTGAACAAAATGTTCATGTGGTTCTTGTAGAGAGTACACCAACCATTGTTCTTTACAGATGGAAAATGGGTGTCATTTTGGAACGTTATATTACATATTGGCAATTTAGGGATAACTGTTAGCTCCATGCTTCATGTATCAAAGACATTTCTACTTTGTTAGAGTGGAAAAAGTAGGTGTACTATAAATAGTTCTCTTGCCAAATGTAATACAACATGGGGATATTTTTTGCATATGGGTTGGTTGACATATGATTATGTCTAACTGCTTAAATGAACCTTCGTATTATATTTTGTATACAATGCGACTTGTGTTTCTGTCTATGGTTGTGACGGGGCGACCAGCATCTATGTTTTCCGTCTTTTTTGTGTGTGTTAGTTTTCAATGACAAGTTTGTGCTGTAACGAAAGAGTATCAAAGTGTCCTATTTCAATGTTAATGTTTTCAATATTTTTTTACTTATTTATTGTATTTGTTCTTTCTGATTCTTCATTATTCTTTTGTCTGCTCACATTACTTAGCCTGCTCTGTGTTGTATTCCAAATTTCTAAATCTCATCAATAAATTAGATTTTTTTTTAAAATCCAGCCGAGATAGAATGCTATACCCCGGTGCTCAACATGTTATATGTCACTGAAAGATTTGTCCTACACCCTGCAGACTGGTCTTGCATGTGAGTATGTCGGGGGGGCACGTGTTCGCCCTCAGATACAGACAGATCGATAGGAGGACTTGTCAGTAGGAGATTTCGATCAGTCCACTCCCCTATATCCTCGGTCGCCCGTACACACATATACCAATGGTCACAGCCCATATCCCACTGCACTATTGCAGGCTGTCAATAGCACTGCATGTTTTAACACCCACCCACACCCACACCCCCCCCCCCCCAACACACACACACACACACACACCAGTAATAACAAAGCCGTTGATCATCACTTGTCCGTGCAGAGATGTTCAATGTGTCACATGTGTAGTTGCCATGCTTCTATCCAGGGAAGAGTATAAACCATTTATGGATGGATGGATGGATGGATGGATGATGATGGATGAGGATGGATGGATGAATGAATGGTGGAT